TGGCTGGCCCTGCGGGGCTAAGGCCGGGGTTGCCGCGCTTAACAGCCAGCCAGGAGATCGGGCTCTTCCTCGGGGCTGTCTGTGTGCTCTGGGCGCCTCTGTGGCCTGAGGTCGCAGGGTAGAAGGAGCTCGCGGGACACTCACCCACACTCGGGAGCAAAGATGAAGATACCGAGACGCGCGCACACACAGGCACAAATGCACCCGACCGACATGCTCAGACTCATTCCCAACCACAGCCACAGACACAGAGACACACCCGCCATACGCACCGACATGCACACTCAGGCGCGCACGCACTCACACAGAAGCTGCAGGGCTCAGTCACCCCCGCCCGACACGGGAGAAGCAGAAGCGTGAACACGGACACTCGCCGAGAAGAGTAAACGCGCGCAGCACACGCACACGTGGCGACACAGGTGCGGTCATCTCCGTCCAGGTACTCATCCCCCGCCCCGAATACTTGTAGTGAAACCTCTGCCTCCGCCCCAGACACCCACTGTATTCTCTCTTAAACATTTGGCAAGACGACAGGAGATGACTTCAGCAGCTGCAGATTTCCTCAGCACACCCTCAAGCACCTTTGGTGCCCTCTTTGGGGATCTGTAGCCACGGAGACAGATAACTGAGCCTTTTGCATTGCATTGGAACCTGAGGTAGGCGTGTCGATATGTTTTTGGGGTGAGAGCGAAAACGTCTATTTTTTTCCCTTAATTCTTGTTGGCTAGGTGTCTTTTGGACCGGAGACATTGAGAATGAAAATGAAATAGTTTTCCCTTCAACTTTTTCAGTAGTTCCATTTTTTTTTGTCTAAAAATAAAATAGAAAAACCCCTTTTTACCAGCTGGGTAATTTGTTAATCTGTTATATTATGCCAGATGAATTTGCCATCGTTTGGCTATTTGACTTACAAAAATGGCAACTCCACAGTGCATGTTATTAAAAATGTGTGGACATGGAGAACATTTTGAAACTATGGAAAGCAAAAGATGATATTTCTCTTTATGAAAAATCAGAAAACCAAGGTCTTTACCCATGAAATTCTATCCTCAAATCAGGCATATGACTTTACTGCTGAAACAAATTAATTTTGATTTCACTTGTATTAGTGGTGTCTGAAAAACTGAAAGTATTTCATGCAGTGTAACCAAACACACTTTGTAGATTACGTAACAATGGCTTAAATTCACGGAACGTTTTGCCATGTACTTTCCATGCATTATTACATTCAATCCGCTGTGCAGTCCCATGAGTGTAAAGTGACTCTTTTTAGATTAACTGACAAAGGAGACTTACAGAAGTCAGTAGCTTGCTCAGGGGCAATGCCAAGCAGTGCTGGAAGCTGGATTTGAACCCAAATCCGCCTGACTCTATCCCTGGATTTTGAGCTTTTTGTTGTACTGCATTTTTACATGCAGAAAACAGTGGAGTTCAGGTTACAGGCACTACAGCTGGGACCGGAACACCCAAGTTCCAGCTTTCGCTGACTTAGACCCTTCAAATCAGGAGGAGGGAGCCTAACTCCCTTCATCTGTAAAGGAGGGAGAAAGACACTTCCATGGGGCAGGAGAATGAAGTACTGTGATAAACAGCAGGATGCTTTTGCACATATAAATGTCACAGGGATGTGGGTTGCCGGCTTACACCAGTTACTTAGTCTTTGAAATATATTATTAGTCTTTTTTACAAGAACAATAAAATACTTCAGAACAAAGGCAAGTGGGATGTTTACTACAGAAGTAAAGCTCAGAAACAAAATTTAACGTACATGTGCTCTGCAACTTTTTCAATAGCAGAAACTGTCTGCACAGCAGATGCCCCCTAAACAAATATTTTGCATAAAAGCCACAAATATCGATTAAGAGTCTATTATGTTCACATAGTTTCCAAAATATACCCACCTCATATTTGTGTTTTCCAAAACTGGGCCTCCCTGTGATAATATTTTAGGAAGAGGTACTGAGTGTTATGCAATCATGTTTCTTTAAATATACTTCTACCCTGAATTGTGGAACCAAACCATTTTAAACCTCCTTCCTGTTTGTGAAACTATAGAATACTGTAAATAAGCATTTTGTTTAATCTTCCTATACAAGAGCAAAAAAAAAACCCCTTTAAAGATAAACATTAGTCATTTATTTAGATACATATAAATAAGTCATGTAAAAGCTTAACTGAATATTTTGGTAAACACCTTTAAAAAAAACCACAAGTGCTAAATTAAGAAGGGGAAACTGCTTACGTCAACAAGGAAGTCCTCAGCCTTTGCCCACCAGCCTCGACAAAAGGACAGTAGCGTTCCTTCTCCTCCCTCCCTGCCAACCCTCTTCTGTCCTTTGTCCTCTCCATCCCCAAGCGGGGAAGAATTTCAAGACTGATCTTGTGAGAGTCTGTTCCCTGACCTTTTACAATTCTACAATCAGAAAATTAGAATGGGAAACAGTTTCATAGGCCATTTCATTTATTTCCTCCAGCTTGTAAAGAGGGATCTTCAGTGAATGCACAAGAAATGTCCCGTCCAAGGTGGTAGGAACTTTAGGAGTCCGGCCCTACCTCACAGCCGCACACGTTCTCAATACCAACGGTGGGTACTGCATTTCTCAGCAGGGGAGTTTAACTGGAGCTGCTCACTGCCCTGCGGGCCTTAGGGAGTTAGTGCTTGAGTTGATCCAGAAAGTTCTTCTGGGCTAAGGGTACTTTTATCTAATAGAAGAAAAAATAGGCTCTTTTATAATGATGGATATTGTCTAATTACATATTTTGTCAATCCCTTAAGACACTGATTTGTCATTTCCTGCCCACCAAACAGGAATAAAAACCACAGTGTGATTTACCTAATGAATGTTTGAACAGGAGTGAGGTTTTGGGGTGCCAGAAAGTGCCCTCACACTGATAATCAGACGACTTAGGTAAACCATCTTGCCTTAGACAAGTGTCCTAACATCTTTATGATTCTTGATCAGAAAATCATGTAGATTCTTTTGGCTTAAAATGTCTGTCCTTAATAATATCTGTCTAGCTCATTAAATTTACACAAAATGAGACTGGGTGCATGTAAAGCATGCTACCTTATAAGAGAGAAAATTGTTACTAATTATTTTTAATGAAAATGTATATAAAGAATATTTGAAGGCTGGGGATTTAGCTCAGCAGTTTGGTGGCCTGCCTTGCAAGTGCAAGGACCCGAGTTCAATCCCCAGTACAAAAACAAAAACAAAAACAAACAAACAAACAAAAAATATATATGTATATATATATACACATATATATATATATTTATCTTATCAGATCATATGTGTGAAAAAATCATTTGAACATGGATATTTTTATTTAAATTGATGTGAAAATTTAAGAAAGAAACATAGTTTTGTTGTTTCTCTGAAGAATGAGCCTGCAAATTCCAAAACATTAAGTTATATAGTTAGATGGGACGACAGTGGTTTTTGGATGAAGCACTTCACAGTCTAGTCAACTTCTTACACAGTGTGTCCTTCAAAATTCTTGGAAGCCATCTCTAGAGAGATGACTCTCACCAGCCCCTTTCATGGGTATTTGTAGTTGTTTGCCTTCTTCCTAAAACGTTTGCCTTAGATTTTAAGTCTGCCCCCTGGAGGCCACTCAACGTAAGTCTCTTCTCTCCTTTAGACTGTCCTGGAGCATTGGGGAGAATCCCTTAAATTTCTCCTGAGCCCCCTCTTCACACCAAGTAGTCTTGGTTCTAGAGTCACCTTTACCATCAAGGCAGGTCTCCTCTATTCAGGCTTTTGTTTGTTGATATTTAAATTTAACATCAGTACCTGGAAAGTTCCTAGAACATGTCATCAAACAATTGCCTTGCAATCACCTTGGCAACCATAAAGTAGAGCAGAGCAACCAGCAAAGCTTTCTGAACAGCTGATTATACCAGATGAATTTAATTTCCTGCTATGCTAGACTTTTATGAGAGGCATCCTAATAAATTCTCCACATCTCAGGGGCACTGAACAAAGAGATGACATTAAATTAAAGCAGGGGAGACTTCAGTTGGCATATAAAGGGCTCCTTGGCCAGAAGAGAATTAATCATTTAAAAAGGCCAAACTGTAGCATCTTTTCTCAATTGGGAATTTGCAAGAGAATTACACTCTAAAAAAATCATTTGAGTTACTCTTCTTGATTATCCCAAGGGTGGTACAAAACTATTACCCTCTGAGGGACAGAAGTGGGAAATTAAGTCATCACATACAGTGCAATGGATGCCCTAGTGCACAACATTCAATTTTCTTGAAAAACCAAAGCAGGACTGCTTAGAGTCTTCTCCATATAAGTGTAAGAGTGTGTGATGATAAGTGATGGCAGTTTGGTGCAGAGGAGAGAGTGTAGATGGCACCAGGAGACGTAGTTTCCAGTCCCTACTGGGACTGTTCTGGGAAAGCTTCACAGAGCCCCTCTTTTCCTTTGAACCTTGATCTCCACGTATGAAATGGGAACTTGGCTTGAGTACATCAAAGGGCTGTCCATTGCAGAGTGCACAGTCTGTACAGGGAGGAAGTGCCTTGAGGCCACTGAGGAGAGGAGTTCCTGACTCTGAAGAGGTGCCGTGAACTTGCAAAGCAAAATTTGTGTCCCACAAAGCAATGTGTTTGTGCCCCCTCCTCCATCAGCCATGTACATTTCACCTCTGTGGTTTCTGCTATTCTGAGTAGCAGGTATACTAAGATTTGTTAGATTATTGACTGACTTTTCAAATTCAAATCCGTTTATTTTTAAATAAAATTTTATCTTACTTCCATCACCACACGTGGAAAACCAGTGTCATTTGCCATAAATAGAAAGTAACTATGAAAACAAAACACTGTTAGCAAATTGTGGCTTGATTTTGTTGCCAGCCAAAGTTCTGAGCCTGAGGCTTGCTCTCTATTGCAAAGGAAGATTAGCAATTGCTGGGGAAATAGGAATGGTATTCTAGTACCAAATGGGACTTTCTCTATCTGAAACATGACATGCCTTGGTTCTCATTTTTTCCCTTGTGACTTTTCTTTTTTCAATAAACCTTGTCACCATTTTTGGCTTGTCTTGTTTGATTCTTTGTTGGAGGCAAGAAGGACCTGGAAGATATTCCATTTCTGAAAGGAACTGCCTGGTAACACTGTAACAGAGAGCATGAACTTTGGAGCCCGGTGGATCTCAGTGTCAATCCTTCCCCTGCCCCTAACCAGCTGTGTGCTTTTGGTGATGGGCTTAAGCCTTCTGGATCTCTAAGTGAGCATGTGAAAAATGAGGATAAAAATTTTTAGATGATTGTTTGGGGAATAGAAAGAATCCATGAAATGCTAGGCTGGGAAAGGAAGGAAGAGAACCATGAGGCACAACCACAGAACAGATCAGCATTATGGGTTGGCTAGGGTGGCAAGGATGAATCAAATGGGTGAAGCCACTCCCAAATAGGCTAAGAAGACAGCACTTGATCCTAGTGTGGCTAGGGGCAGGAAGGGCTGATGGGTTCAGATATGATCATATCAAATTTGAGGCTTTAGTGGGACATCAAAATGGAAACTAAAAATATAGCAGAGATGAAAAGATAAGTTGATTGGGAATGATGTTCTGTGGGTCGTGGTCATTATGGTGGAAGCACTCCTTGAATAGCAGTGCTCTCAGAAAATACTTTGGATGGTTAAATGGAGTACTGCATTTAAGGAGCTTAGCACAATCTTTCCAAGAGAAATATTTATCATTGTCTTCATGGTCATTGTCATTCTCCTCCCCTACTATTTCTCATCATCTAGTGCTTCCTAGGGTAGTTTCCATTTCAGCAATTATCAAGTTTCTCAAGAATAGTCCTATAAACAAATTGATCTAACAGGAAAACAATTCTCTATACATATCAAACTACCCAAGTACGTATAATGGTAGCCTTTGGGGGTGGGTTTGGGGAATATCATATGTTGGCTCCCGTATGTTGGCAGCTGAGATGAGATTTTCTGTGCAAGTCATTGAAGAAGGAAGAGCTCATTTGAGATATCAGGCATGGAGTGGGGAAAGCAGCCCAGAGAGTCAAAGACCAAAGTCAAAGAGCCTGATCCTGAGAGCAGCTCTAGGGCAACTCTGGAGCCAACTGCTTCCTCCAATTGTTAGCTGTAAAACCCTGAACAAGTTACTTAATCTTCCTTTGTCTTGTTTTCTTTGCATGTAAACTGGAGTTGTTGATAATATCTAGCAACCTCATGGGGTTATTATAAGGATCAAATGAGTTTAATATTTCTAAAGTAGTCAGGACTTACCTGGCACGTAGTTAATGCTCCGTTTATTATTTCTGTTCAACCTAGAGGAGCCATGCAAAGGTTTATTAGTTGGGTAACTCAGGAAGCTTCCCACAGGGAAGAGATTGTGCATACAATTTTTTAGACTGTAGAACCTCTAAGTGTAACCCACCCTACGCCTGAGCAAAAGATAAGAAAATGTAGGGTGTCTTGCGAATCCTGAAAGAAAGAAGTGAAATAGTTGTGAGGATCAAGCAATATCCGTTGCAGAAGAGGATGGAGGACCAGAGTTGATGAGAAAACCATAGTAGATGAAACTGATGATAGAGAAGGGCACAGGAAGAAAAGAACTTTCAATACAGGAAACAGGATGATGTGGGGGTACTCTCTCCAAAGCAGAGCCTCCTGTGGGGGCATTGAGGAAAGGATCTTCTAGGGTTGAAGAGAGGAGGTCAAGGTGCTCCAGCAAAGTCCGATCACTTCAGGGTGGTAGAATACTTCTTGCACTTGCAGGAAGGAGGCTCCTGCTCTGACTCTCCAGCTGCTGTGTGACTGCCCTTCTCTGGGCCTCTAGTTCTCTGATGTATAAAGCGATAACATTAAATTGAGTGTCTTTCAGGTCAGTGCCCAGTACACCACAGTCAAATGGTGATGGTTAAGAAGTCCGAAAGACAGTAAGGATACGTTCTGTTTACTTTGTGTGCATTGTATATCAGGAGCTGAGCTTGGCAACTTATATTATTCTTATGTCTCATCTTACATTTTATTCGCATTTCTGTACAATTTTCTAAGATAGCAATATTACTCCAATTCTACAGATGAGATAATTAAAGTTTAAAGATGTTAAGCATCCTGCCCCAGGTTGCACAGTAAGTGATAAGAAGAAAAGGGGTTCTAACCCAGCTCCATCTCAATACAAGCCCCACTGTGAACCCCTGGTTTAGATCTATAGTGCCCCCCAAAAGTTATTCACTCAGAAGCAGAACTTTTACAAGGCGATTGGGTCATTGCGGTGCTATACTCATCACCAAATTCATCCAACAGTGAGATCAGCAGTTGAGTGCACTGTAAGGTGGGGCTTGGTTAGAAGTGGGTCACTGGGGACATAGACTGCAAGGGGATATCTCCCTCCCTAGTTTCTCCTTTGCTCTCAGCTTCCTGACTGCCATTATGCAATGGCTTTCCTCTGCCAGACCCTTTCACTATGCCTTTCTGGCCAGCTATGAACTGAATCGTCTAAAAACCATGAGCCAAAGTAAACCTCTCCTCCTTTAAGTTGTGGGTGTTGGGTATCAGGTCTCAGCTACAAGGAAGTGACTAAGACAACTACTACCAATAGGAATCAG